TGTATGACAGGCAAATTTCACACGATGAATTTTACCATTTAGTGCGTCAGAGTACCTTTTTTAGTTGGCAAACCGATTGGGACACTGGAAATCTTGGACGGTGGTTACATTCAATTATTCCTAATGTTTCTTCGAGAGCGTGGTTTAAAGGCTTGGGCTTAAGTCGTGACTTCATTCGCGTGATGAGTAGACTTATGTCCAACCACTACTCGCTAGATGCTCATCTCAATAGAATAAACCTCGTGGACAGCAACATCTGTCGGTGTGGAAACGGTTACGATGACATCGAACACGCAGTTTGGCAATGTACGGATAATGACGCCGCCAGAGAGCGACTTTTGAATACCCTCGAGGCCCAAGGAAGACAACCCTATGTTCCTATCAGAGACGTGTTGGCAACCCGTGATCTCTGCTATATGCAGTCCGTTTATGTTTTTCTTCAAATGTCTAGTATAAGAATTTAATTTCTTTTGTCTTTTGTCCCTCTTTATTAGTTTTTGTTTGTCTTGTCCCCCCGTCTCGATGAGTCTCATCGTCGCCCACTGGTCACCCACCATAGCCGGTCGAACTCCGGACGAAGCTAGAACAGCACTACCGTTCATACTGGCGACAACGCTCTGATGAGACAACGAAACCCTACCCCAAGCTCCTCCCCTGATCCTATCCTTCGAAAATGTACCCTTCTAACCTCGAGTAAGCCGCGAGTAATCGGCCCAACTCCTACTAGACATAGAATTAAGTGAATTTTGTTACACACAGTGAACAATGAATTATCGGCTCCGTAAAGCTAACGCGATTGAGCCTTCCAAATAAACGAACTAGATAAAAAAAAACCTAGTTTATGTTTGTGGCCAGAACATAGCTTCTGAATTATCACCTTCGAACCAACTTAAGCCCGATAAGAAAGCATAAACGGTATAGGTGACCATTTATACATTTTATTTAACACATGATCTTCATTAACTTTTTTGCAAAGCGTCTGCTTATTAGGTGACCCGAGTAGCACATTTCCGTCACAAAAAGTTGCAGCAACTTGTTAACGACTAAAATAAGTTGTAAAGAAGTTTTTAAAACCAATTTGTGACAAGCGTGCTACTAGGGGACTTATACATTATTTTATGAATAATCAACAACAAAAATTTGCCAAAAGGTGAAGGGCATTCTATCCGTGTACGTTAATTTTCAGATTTAAAAAAATCTAGACAAACATTTCGAAAGGTCCTAACTGCCTGCCACTGTCTTTGACTTTCTGGACGCTAGATGAGAACCTTCATCATCAAATTACGTATCAAATGGTTATCATAAGAGTAAGTCGATGAAGAGAATCAATCAAAGTAGATACAGTCAACTTTCACTCGTTGGGCTAAACCCATAGCCCACTTAGTGAAAGGCTTTCGATAGTTGGGCTGAGCTGTCAAGCTGAAAATTGGTTGAGTGATACACCGATTGTTTATTATCATTAAAATCTTTTAGCACTTTCCAGATTGTTCAACCATGAGCCCCTCGAAATGGAATCAGCACTGTTATAAGTTCAACTAAACGTAGTCCACTTAACGATAGCCTAACGAGCAAAATTCGACTGTAGTACCTTTAGAAGAACTCTCGATGAACATTTCAAATGGTCCTATCTGCTTTGATCGAATCTCTTCATCGACTTTCTCTTTTCATAACCACTGCTATGCAAACAGATTTCGCGCTAATTCTACCACATAGTTTGATAAAGGAGGTTCTTCTCTAGCGTCCGAAACGTCAAATACAACAGGGAAAGGTTTTGCAGCTGAGTTATTAACGAAAGAGAAAGTCGATGAAGAGAATCGATCAAAGCAGATAGGACCATTTGAAATGTTCATCGAGAACTCAAGTTGAACATTGCATTAAGTCCTAAGTAACATTGATCGCTTCTCTTCGTCGACTTTCTCTTTCATTAATATTTTGACCAAATATACGTTTCTTGTTGTGTTTGTCAAATTAGATGCTAGATATAAGCTTCTTTAATCGATCTGTGTGCTGAAAATACCTGGGAATGTCTTTACATGGCCGTGGGGATACAAAAAGAAAGTCGATGAAGAGAATCTGTCAATGTTACTTGGGACCTAATGAAATTTTCAGGTTTAATTCAGATATTCTCAGTTATATCAAACATCTTGCTTCCAATATATCTCTACCATACTTAGAAAATAATACCGAACTCGATTTAATTTTCTACCGAACCTCTTCGGTTACCAACGAGAAACCGAATAAATGGTTTAAAAACATTTTTTCTGGCGTATCTATCGAATCAGACCCGAATTTCGGTAAAATAGTATAAATTTGACAGATATAAATGAAGACAGAACCGAGAAGTACGGTAAAGTATCAACATTTACGAATTGGGTTTTTAATCTGCATTAAAAATGGAACCCAAACCCAACATTTCATCAATTTTGGTACACTGGAACTATTTTAAATAAGTACGATTACATATGCAAAAATCACCTTATTAGCGCCCCTCGGTGTCCCTTTGTATGGGAGCGAGCTGTCAGTTTGTTAGTTTAGTGTCAAACAGTGAAGTTATTATTTTGCTTTAAATCTTGATTTAAAAATCGAGATGAAAGTGTGTGGATTCGAAAAAAATATCGCTGTGCTCTGAAAACGAAGCTCTTTCAGATGATGTATAAAAAACGATACATTTTTCAAAATTAAAGAACCCAATTCGCTACGTGAAAACCGAGAAACTCGGTAAACTGAACCAAATTTTCGCTAAAACTTGTTAAACGTCAAACGTTCCACTTGCGCACACGCCGGACGTGTGCAAAACTTTAGTAAACATGTAAAAAGTTCTGGAGCAGCTGCAACAGGAGGATGCACGTTTGATTGAAATCTTTTGTAAGTATTTGAAACTAACGGTATGATTTTAGTTGCAGGCATCTTGTGCTATAGTTTGTTTCTACTGCCGTGAAAATGTACAAGGTTATGTTAAGAATGACTTCAAAGTCAGTGATAATTTTTTTTAACACTGTACTTTTCTAAGCTGTAAAGGCCCAAACGCAATGTGGATGGAAGCGGAACGGAAACGGAAAGTTTGACAGTTGTCACAAATGACATCAAGATACCTAACCGAAGTCGATTTGGTTTCAACAGGTTTCAACAAGTTTTCAATCCGAGAAGTTTGCTTACTCAGATCGGGCTTTTCCGCTGCCGTTGCCGTTCCGCTTCCGCTGTCATTGCGCTTGGGCCTTAACTCGCGTTACGGAAGTTTTTATTTGCCAAAACATATTACATACATACATTACATTCATACATTTCTTTGACAAAACTGGTTTTATTTTTATGAAAATTCGAAACAACGTACACAGCAAAAAAAAAATGTAATATCGATCAACGTAATTCAAGCTGATGTATGAAATAATGATGTAAAAGCAAAAAGCAGATACAATATTACATCAATGGCTGTAATTTTGTTCGCAAAATCGATGTACATCGTACAATGTGATATTACACAACCGATGGATTGACCTGGTTGCAGCAGTTTCGATGTAATATTCAACAACTTTTTTTGCTGTGTATGCTTAAAAGACATTTAAAGCAGGATTTGAAGTGAAAACCGACCACTGCTCAAGAGAACCGAATTCCGTAGTTACAACAGGTGGGTCGGTTTGTTTGACAGCGTTCAGTAATTCATGAGTAAACCGATGTTCGGCTATTTCTGCTTAAATTTATTTTTCGTCAACCGAGATTTTCGGAAACTTTGACATATTGTGGGTAACAAAAAGCACTAACGACAGCTCGGTTATTCTTCTTTGAATCGAACAGACTACCGAGCGTTCAGCAGATAAAAACTCGGTTGAAATCAAACCGAGTTCGATAATATTTTCTAAGTGTGTGCTATTGATTAACCCTATCTCATCTAAGAAATGCATAACGTGAAACTTAAGCAATTTAAGATTTTTATTATTGTCTTGCAGTCTCGGATTTTGACGTAAAACTCTGTCATTCAATTTATCAGCAAAGGTAGAGACGACAAATTATCTGAACAAAAACAAATAAATATAACCGGTCGCATTGGTGCTCAGCACGGAAAACAAATCAAGGGAAGAAAAACAAAAATCAGTATATGAAGTATATAAACTAAACTAAAAGTAAAAACTATGAAAAAAGTATAAATCACCTACCCTCTAGCATGTCCATCGTTGCGCACTGTCCAGTTTGGACCGTAGTTCCTCCACTTTCCTGCTGTTCTTCACTATTTAGCAAATGGCATGCGTAAACAAAGCAGGATGCAGTAAAGTTTGAAGTTTTTTTTTACCCATTAATGAGTATAAAAATACACATTTTTTGACTGGTACTGCATACTTAAAATGTGTATTTTTTTACACATTTTAGGATCTCCAAATATACACATTTTTTGACAGCTGCATATAAATATGAAAAATGTGTATTTTTTTACTCATTTATGTGTTTACGCTGGTTACCGTGTACTACCTGTTTATAGAATACCTTGTGCCGACATCGACTTCCTTTTTGTGTCTACACAGAAAAACAAAACTACCCACCACTTGGGTTTTTTAAACTCAAATTTGAGTTATTTGACCTCTGCCCGTTTCATTTCCTCTCGCTATTGTTGTCAAAAATAGAACGAAAGATTCGACTCAACCGTCTAGTTCCGTACGAGAAGCCAAAATTGAGTAATATGCGATATACCCAAATTTGAGTTAATTGAACTTAATTTTGGGTAGAAAAAATTGAAAATAACTTAGCGATGGGTAATTTTTTTTGCCGGGCTTAAATGCAAACTACTTTGAGCCGGTTTACCCAAATTTGGCTTATCGTACGGAACATGGGAGATGAGTGAAAAGAACTTAATTTTGGGTTGTTTTGAATTTCTGTGTAAGTTCACGGATGTCAAAAATTGATTGTAAACAAAAACAGCTCACTTCGCTCTAATATGGACCAACAGGTCTGTGCCATAAAAAGGGAGCTCACTTCGCTTTGTATTTTTGTTCACAACACAACACCGGCTGATGAATAAAATTTTATTATTATTATTGAGTTTTTGTGCTAGAAACACCAAAAAATGGTCAGCGAACTATCACGGGGCTTCCGCGAGGACTGCTACACCTTCCTGACCGAGTTCAACCGCCACGAGTCGATGGAATTCCGCCACTTTTGCTACGAGTGGAAGCGAATGAACTTTCAGTTTGTGTTCTAGTAAGTCGGTTCTCGAACAACACTAACTTTTGCTTGAATTAAATATTAATTATTAACCATTTTCAGTGGCCGAAACACGGACGTCGATATGGTCGCCTTCGTGGCGGAAGCACTGACCATTGTGAAGCAGATTTTTCTCAGCTCGAAAAATCCGCTGGAAAAGATTGGTGCGTTCTACCTGCTGTACACTTTGTACTTCAAACAACCAACGGAACGGTTTTGTAAGATTCGAGTTACACTGGTGGACTGGCGAGAGTTTAAACGATTCATTCAGCGGCCTGCACCGGAGCAGTACTCGCTGGAGATCGCGGCCATCTTTTGGAAGATGTTCATCGGCGACGCCTTTCGGTTTGTGCAGGACGAGCTGGAATATGGGTATGATTCGTTTTTCGGAAAGGGAACGCAGATGGGGCGGTTCGACGATAAGAGCCGGGAGGCGTTCAAGATCGTAAAGGAGGCGGAAAACGATTTTCTAGCAATGAAGGCCAGTACGGGGTTGTTTACGGCGCTGGATGCACTGGAGATGGGATACAACGAAATGAAGGAATCGTTGGATGGTAAGTAGCGGTTGTTTATTAGATTCAATTATTGATTATTTGGTAGGTAGAGGAAAGAGGTGGTCCCAGAAAGCGAAACGTTCGGTGAAGAGACCTGTTTCCATCCTAAGATCTTCTCCGATGTTGAGGTAGTTGTCTTCTTGATCAGTCACTGGGATCCAGTTTGGCTGGTCGATTCCTTTGGCCGTGTTTGGATTACTGAAAATTGATCAGGTTTATGAAATGGCAATTTAGGTCCATGAACAGGGGATACTTACCCAGTTTCGGCGAAAGCCGTCCACATCCCGGTCAAACGTTCAACAGTCTTGCTTTCCGGATCGGTAGCATTGAAGATGGGTGCCACCCAGGGAATCGATAGCAAGTACAGTAAATCGTCGTGGTGAACAGCTCCATAGGGGGTTCCTTCAACCGGATAGTAAAAGAAACTGTACCGTCCGACGTAGGAAAATTTGTACTGATAGACCGGGGTATGCCGTGATGCCAACTGCACGAATCGATGCACGGCAAAACCGATTAAACTGTCGGCGAAAAGCTGCAATGGTTGCAATAAATGAGCACGATTCACAAGCGGAACAAATATTAGATTCTACTCACGTAGTTCAATCCCAGCAGGGAGCGGTTTAGACTTAATGGCTCGTTTCCTAGAAATTTCTCCCGTAACTGTCGAGTTATATTCAAACGGTTGGCATAGCCTCCATAGAGGAAAAATATCGGTGCAAGCGTATCAAAATTCTTATCCAGCTCGTTCCTCAGCGTATCATTTCTCAAAAAATTTACGGCAGGGCTAGCAAACTCGTCCTGCGTAATTCCCGCAATCACCGGGACCTTCACAAAATCCCCTTTCATGAAGGCCTCCGTTGGATCCTGAGTCAAGAATCGTTCTTGACCGAAATCGGGTTCGACTACCGCTGTCCAGAGCAGCACCGGGTTCCACGACAGGACGAACATCGCTTCCAAGCTATCAGCAAAATCCGACGCCGGTTTCTCCCTCAAACACTCGACCATTTGAGCAACGGAATCCGTTCCACACTTAAGCAACTCCGCCTGCTTTCGTGCCAGCTCAATCTGATTGGTCGGAATCTGCACCTGGCTCACTCCGGAAGCACTCATCACAATCACCCGATGGAACAGCCCCCGCGACATCGGTGAAACCATGTGTAAAGTGTTGCTCAGTGCGCCGGCACTGTAGCCCATCAGCGTCACTGAATCTGACCTGCCTCCAAACGCCGAAATATGATCACGAACCCATCGCAAAGCCATCACCTGATCCTTGAAACCAGCATTGCCGGGACACTCCTTCGTTCCGGTACTCATGAATCCAAGCGATCCCAACCGGTAGTTAATCGTCACTAGCACCACGTCCCGATCCATCAGGTTTTGCGGCCCGGCATTGTTTCTACTTTGCCCGGAAAACACGTAGAACCCACCCGGATGAATGTACACAATCACGTCCCGTGGACGAATCCTCACATTATCCCTCGGAATCACACTCGTATACACGTTCAACCTCAAGCAATCTTCCGACACTTCACTCCGATTGTACGCCGGCTGCGGACACATGGGACCATCGTCGGTCGCATCCAAGGTGCCATTCCACGCCGCCACCGGTTCCGGTGCTTGAAAGCGCAGAGCCCCCACAGGTGGATTGGCGTACCGGATGCCACGAAAGGCGTAGAATTTACGTCCCAAGCGGGACTGAAGGATCGAACCCCGGATGCTTCCGAGTCCGGTGTGGACGACGGGTGGCTGGTTGTGGGCGATTGTGGTAGCGGCCAGATGCGCGAGTAGAACGATCAGCGCAATGAAATGCATCGTCGCGCTGCAGTCGCTGCTGAGTTTGGAGATGGGACTGTGAATGGCGTTATCAGATCGGTGGCTGCCGAGTTAAATAAGCGGCCGGCGGTAGGGGTTTTTTTTGTTTTGTTTGTCTGATTGATTGTGCATATGCATGGAGAATGGGTAATATTGTACGTGTTCATTCAACGTTCAGCGTGGGGAGCATGCCTAAATGACGTGGCATTTAAGAGGGTGTTTCAGAAGTTATGACCGTTCATGTATTAGGAATAGCCAAATACGCTACGATGAGAGAGTGTTCTAAAAATAGTCAAAATATTCTACCTCATTTATGGATGGTCCTTTGTAGTCGAAACGTCGAAGACTGAGTTGTAAAGAGATTTCCTACAATGAGTTCATACAGATTGCATACCTTTGGGCAAATTATCTAATCTGCCTGGCTGGAAGTTAATATTCTTTGTGAGGAAGTTGGATGTGAATCTGGAAACGTTATTAGTCGTTGATCTTTATCACTATTCCGTCTTCGATGCTATGAATGTTACAATGATCTTGATTTAAACTTGACAAAAAAAAAACAAGTAGGTAACTGGGAAAGCCCAGATCACACCGTTTGTTGAGAAAAACCACAACTTGAAGTCTTAATTGCTAGGTGGTTTTTGTATACCTAAATGCTTTCGGTTGCTACAAAGAGTAACAGTTGATTCAATAATTGAATATTCATTAACTAACGCTCAGTTTGTTTTGTCTCACTACTTTTGTACACATTAGATAATTAGTGTGAACGTGTTGTAAGTTACATTTATCCAAATAGGCAGTTCTCACCGTGGTCTGTATCGTAGATAGTTTAGTTTAGTTTAGTTTTCCTTATTCTGGTTCCCGGGGCTGGTTCATCTCCGGACAAGATAGTATCGTACAAGCAAGATTTTTCTGAGTGAATATTTTGTATGAAACCTTTGTAACTGTTCGTTTTTCCCGGCAAGTTCAGTAGCAAGAGACCCCTCGAGCTGGGTCTCAGGATCGGCTTACTACTTGGTAATCACGAGGAACTTCGCGGACAAAATGTGCAGCGTACGGTCACCTGACTAGAAATACTGTGTAGTGTGAATTTATTGATTTAAAGATTTACTTTGACTTTGAGGGTTTTTATTTAACAAATTGGTGTGTTGAAGGGATTGGGTTAGATTTCTGTAATTTATTTTTCTGTTTGTGGGTGTGGATAAAATTAACTGTGTTCTTCGCTACGTACCACGTCTTATTCTGGCGATATTGTGACGTCCTGCGAGCGCTCGCTGCTGCTGCTGCTGCTACTGCTGCTGACGACGAGCTGGCAAGCTGATTCCCAAAACAGTGGGTAATTACTGTTTATCCGCACGCTGGTTTGGCGGGGTTCGTCGATGGTATGTGGTTGTGTAAGCCTTTCATGCGTCCTCCCTTGTTGACGGAGATTGACACGGCCCAGGACGATACCAGAGTGACCGTGTGAAGAGGAGGAAGGCTCCTTTACGTTTAAGGGTTTCGCCCCCGAGCTTGAAAAGCCTCCTTACGGGCGGCTGACCCAGAGGTTGGATTGGTCCTTTGCGGTTAGACGTAGCAAACCGAGGTCTACTACGCCGAATCGTGTGCACCTGGTCGAGCTTCTCACCAGACAAAATGGCGACTTTCAGTCGAATTAAGGTGGAATTCAGTTCAAAAAATTCAACTACATACAAACTCATACTTGCGAGTGTATGTGTGTTTAAGAGACACTACTGAATTACCCATTTTTACGTGGATTCCGGCACACAGTGAAAATTGGGAATACCATTAACAAAAACTTGAAACACTTACATTGTTATACCGCTCACATGAATCTGAGTTTTAACCTTTTACGATTAAAAAAAGCTGCCCATTTCAATTGAGGCGCGCTTTCATTTTATTTTGGGCCGCCAACGCACACCCTCTCACTACACTACACTAACACACTCCAAAAAAGCAATGTTTTGGTTCATTGCTAATTTTTTTATGTTTCACAACACTTTCCGCTCTTGTACACGGCTTCACTTTGTTGGTCTATGACTCAACTATTATAAAAACGTTAAAAAATCCGCGGCGACGAGCACAAAATCGCGAAAACTTCACCAAACGAACTTTGCGAAAATTTGGAAACGTCGAGAGCTTCCCCCCGGCGCCGTACTAGCACTTTCCTGTTGTTCAATTCTCTATGCATTGGTCTGGCTGTCAGGCTTGTTGTTTCTTTTACACTCGCACTCTTAAAATGCAAAATGTTTTACGTCATCATCATTGCCAAACATCAGTGAGAAAGGGACAAAAAAAAAACACATGACCAGTCTTGTTTTGTTGGCACAGTCGGAGAGGGTGTGTGTGTTTATTTTCAGTTGTGCTGATTCACAAGGTTGCTAGAATCATTTCACCGAATTCAAAATAAAACATCAATTCTCAAATGAATGTTGCGTGAGGATTGCGTTAAAATTGAAAGAAATATTGATTGCGATGGCTTATTACGCGTAATAATGCATTTCTACTTCGTAAATGATAATGTCGAATACTAACAGATATTATGACTAAATACTAAACTTGCTTTTGGCAGCACTGCCAGCTGACTAATGTATGCAAAAATTATGCTCAATTCGTGCGTAACTTCTTCGTGTTCTGGGTGCAGTTTTTAAATCAGCGATAAAAATGCCGCATTTAACGAAGGCAAAAAAGGCGGCTTTAAAACGCGAAGCTTTAAAGCGTAAAAACAGGAATCCAGTATGTGAAAGCGTGGCGATGTATAATCCAGAACCGGAACCGGAAAGCGATGAGGAGTTTGAAGAGATTCTGAACTTTCTCTCTGAATCTGATTCAGCATGTTCGGTCAATAGTGAGGGCAGTGAATTTGAGTGTTTCTTAAGGTTAAAGATGCCAATGTCGAGGAAGATGATGTTCAGATGATCGAAATCGGTAATGAGACCTGCGCGTTTGGTTTCGGAAGTGTATGGGAAACTTTTAATGCTTCCACATGCAGTGAGCTGCAGAACTTCTCTCTCGGGGATATTGAAAAGATGGATTTGTTTGACAATATGGAAACGATAGGCAGTGCTTTTGAATGTGTTAAAATGACCGAGGAAAATGAAGAAAATATACGGCATGTGCATGATGATGACAGAAATGAAAAGGATGAAGGTATGTCATACATAATTCTTAATTATAGTTTTATTGATGCCGATTTCCCTGTGTTGTCAAATTACAATTAAGGAGAAACCACAATGAATGCCGTTTTCCAAAATAATATGTTTTCCTGAAAACCTTGGAAGAAAAAAAAATCCCGAGTACTCTCCAAAATACTTTTTCTATATTGTTCCGCAAGAACAGAGATTGAAAATTATATTTCTTTAATAATTTTACTCCTCTACAATAAGTAGCTGAATCATAATTGCGAAAAAACCATCGTTGATATTTTACCAAGATTCATGGCAAGTCCGTTCTGTAGCAGAAATCAGCAAGCTGAGGAAACGCGTCTTTAGTTTTCTTTGTACCATTTCTTATTCTTATTCAATGGGGAAATCAATATTGGACTTCTTCCAAAACTTTTGGGAACATTGTTGTCATTTCCATTGAAAATCTCTTAATTTTGACCAAAACTTAAACCAAAACTTATATAGTTAGAATATTTTTTGTTTTCGTTGAAATTAAATTCAAATCGTATACTCCAGGTTTAAATGACAACTTACCTTGCACGGAAGGATGCTGTGCTTCTCTTGAGAGTTTGGTATGTAGATTTTATTTTGTAAAGTTAGGTTCTTAAATTAATTTAATGGTTGTGTTTAGACTAGCGATCTGGGCGAGTCTACTGTACATATTCCAAGTATTCCTTATTTTGGCGATCTTGACCCATGGAAGGTTCATCTGGAACAGTGGCGTATGCTGAATGCCATACAACGGAGTTTCGTGGCATCAACGAATCTTTCGAAGTAGTTACGAATGACGTCCTTGTTTCAGCAGAACTGTTAGCTTCCTCAATTAAGCGACCGTTAATAAAAAATCCGTCCATTGATACGACCAATGACAAGCCGAAGAAACCCCGAACAGCACAAAATCAACAAAACGTCATCGATACACACCAATACAGCCAAGAAGTAAAATCGGACTGGTTTATCGTAGATGGTCGAAGAATTGTTGATTGGAACTATGTTTTCAAGTGCATGTTGCAAGCTCAACGTATGCATTCCGAGACATGTCCAGGTCTGTTATGCATGTTGAATGAAAAGTACAGGTCGATGATTTCTGTAATGATTTTCAAATGTGATACCTGTGAAGCCATGTACAAAGTACAAACTGAAGAACCGTCAGAAAAGCCACAGCTAAGAAGAAGCATGGTTTGGGCAACTCTGTGTTCTGGAGGCACATACAATTCAACAAAGGAACTATTGGCACTATGTAACATCCCTTTTATGCCTTTTCAAACGTTCATCACCGATGAGATGAACATGGATTACATATTGGAAAAAACAATGGAGAGTTCATTAGTTCGTTCCATACAGGACGAAAAACAGGCTGTGTATGGTATAACTTCAAATGATCAGCAAGTTCCGGTGAAATTAAGTGTAGCTCTGGATGGCAGTTGGAGTACACGAAGTTATGGAAAACGATTCACCTCGGCATCAGGCTGCGGAGTAATAGTCGGTGAGAAATCGAAAAAGATTTTATATGTGGGGTGCAGAAATAAGCGATGTTCTGTATGCAACCGTGCAGCCCGTCTCAATAAGGACAATCCTCCCGAACATCGTTGCTTTAAAAACTATAAAGGATCATCTGGTGGCATGGAGTCAGATATAATGATTGATGGATTTAAAAAGTTGATGATGGATGGTATTTGGTTGACCACTATAACAACGGATGGGGACTCGACTACCGTGGCGAAATTAAAAAAATGCTATCAAGTACGGTGCATCTATTCAACATCAGCTATGTTGTAACCACGTCACCAAGAATTGCGGTAAAAAACTTCGAGAGGTAAGATATCTTTAGTTCACATAATATGATAAGAATATTTAAGAAAATATAT